CTCACACACTCACGTGCTTTCTCTATAACCAGCAGTGGCTTCTCCCTTCCATCAGTGGTTTGTTTTTACCAGAAGAAAAGCCATCAGCTCTGCGGAGAAAAAGGTGGGGTGAGAGAGGAAAGAGAAGAGATGGGGGCAGGGGAAAGGACCTGAAGCAGGTTGAAGAAACAGGCTAAAGGAGAGAAAAAAAACAAACTTGAGAGCCAAGGTGACAGTAGACATCCCAAAGAAAGGAGGGAGGAGAGCCAGGGGGTACCCCCCACCCCTGCAGCAGCATCTGACATTCCCCACACAACTGCCTAGAGCCTGTGACTAGAACCCCCTTTTCCCTTTCCCCTCCCCGTCTTCCTCCATCTCAGCCTGGTTCCCAGGAGCAGTGGGCAGAGGAGGGGGTCACATTACCTTCCTTAAGAAAGATGAATCAGAAGGCTTGATGGTTCCGATATCTGAAGAGGGGGAGGGGAAGCCTTTGCAGAGCGGAGGGAGAGGGAGAGAGCTCGCCAAAGAGGGGTGACTGGTGGGACTGAGAGTCTAGATTTGAGATCCCGGGAAAGGAGACAGACACATACCTGTGGGCTTGCGTGCGTATGCAAACACCTTCGTGTGCATGTACATGTGTGTGCTGTGTGCTCATGTCTCTGGATAGAGATTAAAGAGACCCAAATAGGAGAAGAAAAGGAGAAAGGATGGGAAGAAGCTAGTGAGTCAGGTTGAGACTGGATGGATGTGGTTGCAGTTTAAATGAGTTGGGGGGGGGGCTTCTCTAACCACCTGTGTGACTGGTGGTGCATCGATGGTGATTCTAATCTCTTGAGACTGTTGGCACATGCCTGTGCTGTTTGGGGTCTTCGAGTGCAACCAGATCTGGTGTCTGGCTTAGTGCATGTGCGTGTACGTCTTTGTACCTCTCTGGGGATCCTCTCCTGCCTGTTGGTACATGTCCATGCTTATGTGGACTTCTCTGTACCTTTATTGTCCCTCTCTCTTTTTCTTCGCCTTACAAAACTAAGGACAATAAAGTCTCATAATTGAAGCCACTTGTCTGCAGTCCCCCACCCCCAAGTCCTCATTCCTGGTTGTTGGGGCATTCTCCATTTCTCTATTACCCCCAATTCCTCATGCTTTCTTACCTGGAATCCCAAGTGCCTGCTCATAAACTCACATCTCAAGACCCTCAGTCATCATAGGGTGGAGATGGGCAAAGTGGGCTCAGATACCAGACAAGTTTGGTGACTTCATTTCATAGGTCCTCCGGCCTTTGTGTGCTTAGGGCTATGTCTCTCTACCTAGTCAGCTCCCTCACATAGCATACAGACCTCCCCTCCCAGGGATGACGGATGCTCTTCATTACTTCTCCCTTTGTTGTTATTTTGTTTTGTTGTTTCTGAGACCGGTCTTAAGTAGCCCAGGCTGACCACCAACTCACTATATAACTGAAGATGACCTTGAGTGTGTAATCCTGCCTCCCCCTCCTAAATGCTAGGATTACAGGTATGCTCCTCAGTGCCCCATTTATGCAGTATTGGGGATGGAACCCAGGGCTTCATGAAGGCTGGGCAAGCACTCTACTGACTGTCTTTCCCCTATCAACCACCCCTTAAGATTGCTGCCTCTACACAAGAAAAGATCTAGACAAGGGGCAGGTTCCTAGGATGGGGAAAGAGGAGAAAGATGGCAAGATAGACATCGCCATGGAGAGACAACTATAAAAGGCTAAGATGAGGACAGGGAGGGGACACCCAATATTTGCTCTGACTTGTGTGTGAACCTGTCTACCTTGGTCCTGGTGTCCGAACCTCTCATGCATTCAGCAGAATCACGATCATAGAGTTGAAGGCTTGGAAATGGAGGGTGAGGGCTAGGGGAGGGCATTAGGAGGTATGGGAAAGAAAGAGCAGTGGCTTTGTCACCCCGCCCCCACCCCTG